CTGTTTTCTCCATTCTATAAATGAAGACACTGAAGTTTAAATATATATATATATATGTTTTTTTTTAGGGATTTGTTCAGATCCCTCAACTAGTGAGAGCTGGGATTTATAACTAGGTGTCTTTGACTCTAACATTATGCTGCATTCATGTTATTTTACTCTATGCTGTTTATTTATTGGAAAATATAACACGTGAAGCAAAGTGTAAAGTAAATATGATTTGGTTTTTTTCCTGTTTTATCAGGTTGGCTAAAAAGTTCATTTAGGTTTCATAACATCTTGGGGAAAAACCTGAATGAACTTACTGGCCAGTTCCATATTTAAATAGTTATTAACAATTTTTGGTGCTTTTCATTAAAGCTGATTGTATGAGTAGAATACAGACTTGATATAAAACAATTTCTCAATTTATAGGCTATTTAAATTGAATATGGATTCAGTAAGGTTGCTTGTGATTGAAGTAATATGTTTTTGTACTTTGAAGACCTAAGTATTTACAGTGTAAATGACAAATACGGGTTTATGTTTTGTAAAACTTTACTCCATAAATTCTTTTGAATTTTTCTCTCAATGCAGCTCATGTGGGTATATGATGAAGATGCAGGCATGAATTGCAGAGAGGTTACCTTTGTGCCGGGTTTATACAAGATCTTTGATGAAATTTTGGGTGAGTACTTGTTTAAGATTTAATACATTTGTTTCTATTGATATCATTTATAATGTTCCTGTATATGTAAAGCCAAACTTAATTAATTTTAGAGGTCTATCTCAGGTTGTTATGTTGAGTATAAATATTCTTCAGAAAATCTGTTACATGCTGTAATATGTTCATATTTCTGGACATTATGTCTTTGTGTTTTGGTTTGTTCATCTGTAAAATGCGTGTATTGTATTTGGTCAGTAACCCCAAGGTTAGTGTGTGCAGTTGTCGTGGGGTTGATTGCATCCCAGTCGCCAGGGAGGGCATGTTAAATACAGATTCCAGGGCCTGATCTTTGCAGATTCAGTTAGTTTTGGGTGAGATGCATAAAACTGTGTTTCTAACCAACACATTAGGTATTTCTGTTGGGTAGCCAGGTTTAACAACCCTTGGTTCAAATACCTCTGTGCTTTCCAAATCACACAGTTAATTCAGTCACAATGAAGTGTTGATGTGTAATTGACTCCTGGGGAGTACTCAAGACTTCGGGAATGTTTTTAGCCACATAGATGCATTAGTGCCACTGGGTTTCCTGCCAGGGTTGTGTGGGTCTCTTGAAGCTTCTTTCCGTCTTTGGGAAAAAGAAAGGAGAGTAAAACTGGTTACTTAGTTTTGTAAGTTTTGTACTTTTTGCTCATCTCACAACTATGCCAGTTTTAGGTTATACAGTGTTTATCAGGAACATATGCCTTCTGTGATTGAAGTTCAGTTTTACAGCTAGCTCGTGTTCAAATTTTACTGAAGCCATGGTTAATGTATGCAAATATTATCAGTTGTAGTTGATAGGATTTAGCATTTTGATTTCTGTGGATGCTAAAGAGTGCCTTTCTAATTCAAAACCAACTGGTTTCAGCTCATTCTATCTATAAAATCAGTAGTTTATTGAAGGCGATCAAGAGAAAGTAGTTGTTACTAAGATAAAATATAATTAAACCCAATTTTTAACTTTTAGGCCTGGATAGGGGATTGTAAACTGTAGATGTTTGTTTTCTTATATCACAAAATCATCCCCCCACCTACCCCACACCTTGTTTTGTAGAAGACATAATAGTAATTTAGTGTGACATAAAAAAATTTAAAAATATTATTTGGAAAATAAGGTTTTGTATTAAAAGTTACCAGTAATTGTTTTCTTTAACTATTACCATATGTAAACATTTATATTAAGTAGTGATGCACTTGCAGCCATATGTTTGTTTATGTCATGTATGTCTGTTTAACTTTTTATGTATTACTCACCAAAGTATTTTTGTAGTTAATGCAGCTGATAATAAACAGAGGGATAAGAACATGACCTGTATTAAAGTTTCTATTGATCCGTAAGTATATTTCAAGTTTAATTTTTTATGCTAAGCTGTTTTATTCAGGTAGTCCCAGCTTATGAACATGTCTCAAATGAATAATTCATACAGTTAGTTTCCTATTGCTTGAGACCATGTTATTCTTACCTCTTTTAGCCAGAATGCTGTCCTCTTAGTTTCCTCTGTCGTTGAGTCTTTTCCTCCAAAGTACTCTTCTTATGGGAGCTCTCGGAGACTGTTTTTCTCCCTCTCTGGTGCTGTGGATGCTGTTTTAGCTGCTGGAATAATCACTGGGGGTTTCTTCCTTTTGCTTTGGTACTCAGGGCCAAGTGCACCATCGTTAGTATTATTCCAGTTACGTTATGGATTAAATTTCTTCTTTCATAACCAACATTTAGGCTTTTCCGTTATTTATAACATCATTTGTAGATTGAGAACTGCTGGTAGTGTAGAATAGGTACCGAGTGTTCAGCTACTCGCTGTGGTGATTTCTTTTTTTTTGGAGGACTTGGGGGGGGTGTGAAAATAATAAAGTTCTAAGTTCAAAATATAGTTTTTACATTTATGCTATTTTCACCAGTATGCCTTTTGTAAGATACTACATTATATTTATCCCTTGTAATTTCATTAGTAGGTTAGCATGATTTTAAGATTTTTTCCTTAACATGAAAGTTTAATAATTCAGTTACAACTGTATTGTTAATAATCTAATTTCAGAGGGCATGGTTAAGATAAATGATATAATAAAAATATAATTTATATTTGGTTATACAATGAAGTTGACTATCTTACATGAAAATATTACTACATAACTATACTATTGAAGTTCTTGATTTTCTTTGCCTTCCTTTCTTATTTTTTCACTTGCATCATTTCTATAATGAATACACTGTACTGAAAATTTAAATGGTAAGATGCACACTTAAAAGTAAGTGGTATGGTATGATGGACACTGAAATGTTACAACTTATGCAGACGTTTAAGATAGTTTTAAGGAAATTTTAGCTGTCAAGATTTCTCTTCTTCCATAGTTAGGGAATTGTCAGTTAAAAATGATTAAGTTTTAGGAGAGTAGTACGGAGTAATATAGAGGTTGAATGTTTAATATCTTCATGCTTTTTAAAAAATCAGAACTGACTGAAAACTAAGGAAGAAGGCCTTCTTAAAACTACATTCTTGATGAACCTGGTTACAGTTATTTGATTCTTTTATCTTAATTGTCTTGGCCACATTGATCCAGCAATGTGCAGTTAAAAAACAGCTTACGTAGAATCCCATTATAGTGAAGTGATTAAGAAGTGAGCTATAAAATAGTTGACCAAATAGTGGCTCATAGTGACAAGCTTTACTTTATTCCAGATTCTGGACAAGGTGATTCTATGTAACTAGTGTCTTTATTACTGCTCTTTCTGTTTTTCATTCTTTTTAAATATCTGTGTAGAGCAGATTTTATTTTTCTTTGTGCATGTGTGTTCATGAACTCTGTGTAAAAGAAAGGTTAAATTTTAATAGTTAATGGATCAAATGTAGAGAATGCACTGTCTAGCTTAGCTCTTATTATTATTACTCTTTCAGTAGTACTCTGTGATGTGGAGATAAAATTTAAGTACAGAGCCATCGTTGTAAAAGATACAGGAATAGGTCAGCAAGGGATGCTGTACAGAATTTGGACAGCAGTTCTAAGACACTAGAGAATTTAAAGCAACTTCTTACAGGGGAGTTTAAAACCCATTAAATAGTATAGTGTAATGGTTAGTATTGAAACAGCTTACTTGCTAGCATCAATTTGATTAAAAACTAACAAATGTGAAAAGCACAATAACCAGAGTTCTAATTATTTCTCTAGCTTAAGGATTCTATTTAGGGTTGAAATTCTTAAAGCTGTAGCCTTCAAAAAAAAGTACACTCATACAGAATATACAGTATGTATACATTTTAAAAATTGCTTTCTATATATTATTTTTGTACCTTTCTATTTTATATACTGAGGACAGCCTTCCTTATTAACTTATATAAGTCTACTTAATTCTTTTAAACTATCCTTAAGTATTATGTCAATATGTCATAATTAACCTCTTTCCAGTTGATGAATATTGGATATTCAGCTTGTTTTCCAAGTTTCTTTTTAGCTTGAATTATTTTGGAATTTTATTTGTAGCTTATTTAGCACATCATCCTTTTAATACTTCTTTGAAGATTATTGATGGAGCAAAAAATGCAATTATATAATTCTGAACCATTGTTTAGAGATTATAGAAGTAAGTTCCAGACCTTGGAAGTGAAATAAACTGAAATTTTTTAATAGAGAAGTGACTTTGATAGAAAGTTTCAGTTTCATACTCATATAGGCTTATAGAATGTATGAGGGAAAAAAATGTATGAGGTATCATCTTATTTTTTTGAAACTGTGAAGATGATGAATTTACAAAGTGCCTTATTTTAATTATAGTACTATATATACTAAGTAGGATGAAAAGATTTTAAGGATTTTTTCATGAGTATATTGACTTTAGTGTCATTCTGAAATGTTTAAGATCTGTAATTTTCCATCCATTATCTATCTTTATTTCCTTCAGAATTGTTCTCTATTAGTTTTAAACTCCATGAAGTGTCTTGTGTTAAAAAAAAAAAAAGATACTTAATAAGTTACACGTTTTAAACTCAAACTAGGAACTATTTCGATATTTAAGAAAATAATGCAATACAGGGCCCTTGTTTTCAAGGCTTCACTCTTAACCTCTGGATATGGGACACACAAGGTAAAGTACAGTAGCTAAGTTGAACTGTTACATACTTAAATATTTAGGTGTATATTCTGTAAAGAGCATTTACCCACACATGAGATAACCTAATTATGTCCTGAAAAGTGAAAGTGAAGTTGCTCAATTGTGTCCAATTCTTTGTGACCCTGTGAACTGTAGCCTACCAGGCTCCTCTGTCCATGGGATTCTCCAGGCAAGAATACTGGAGTGGGTTGCCATTTCCTTCTCCAGGGCATCTTCCCAACCCGGGGATCGGACCCGGATCTCCTGCTTTGGAGGCAGACGCTTTAACCTCTGAGCCACCAGGGAAGATGATTATGTCCTGAGGTCTCTAGTAAATAATTTTTTGGGGGGGCAAGTTTTAATATAAGGAATATTGGAAAACATTGTTTTAGGCTGGGAGGACAGAAGTTGTAAATTGATTCTTGAAGTTAAGGTAAAATTTAGCTAGACAGAGAAGAAAAGAATTTTGTAGGCAAAGGGAAGCTGATGAAGAAATAAAGAATTGAGACTGAATATGGACAAGTAATAAAACTGACTTAAAGGAAAATATGATGGATGTTGGAGAATAGTAGTTCAGTTTGACTGTAAGTAGGGGTAAGCATAAGGGCCTTGAACATGCAATAGAGGACTGCTAAGCTTGATTTCATAGAAAACATGGAACTACTGCTGTGTCCTGGAGCAAAAAATAGTGTTATGAAAGCTGTGGTAAGTCCATCATTGTTATGAAGAATATATTTAAAGGGAGTGGCTAGTTCTGTTCTTAGCTGTGTTGCAGTAATCAGTTTTTAAGGTGATACTAATTTAGACTCATACAGTGGCATTTGGAATAAAGGAAGATTGGATAGAGATGAAACAAATCTAATAGGACAAACTAATGTCTTAATGGTCAGGAGATATGAATAAAAATAACAAAGTTTGAGCCCCTGTGGTTCAGAGCATTGAACCCATGTTGTTAAAAGTGAGGGAAGGAAGAGTTGAGTCTCCGTGATTTGGAGAGTTGAACCTGTATTGTGAAAAGTGAGGGAAAGAGAAGTTGATTTGCTGATTTGGGAAAAGAAAATGATGTGCTTTTTAGTCTTTTTCTTAAACTTTAAAAAATGTATTAATTTCCTCCTGTGTCTTTGATTTTCATTTTGGCTTTTATAACTTTTTAGTTGTAATAACTAGTAACTCTAGAGAGATTAAACAAAGTATGTGTAAGTGAAAGAGTCTAAGAGTAATTGTGAATCAAATTGCCAAATGGTAGCTTTTAAAGACAGTTCTCTGTTGGTTATGAAGCTGTGTGTGCAAATTTGGCTCTTAAATGATAAAGGCACTGTGGTATATACTCTCGAAAACAATAGGGTAGGCAAAATTTTCCGTTAGGACCACTGCCTGTGTTAAGTTGCTGTTAGCTGTAGGAACCTCTACTCCATACCATTTAGGGCTAAAAAGGATGGTTTTCTGATAGAAATACCTAAAAGATCTAAAATAGGTAATAAATATTTTAAAGCCATTTAAGTTAGTGTGTAATAATGATTGCTACAGTATAAACAGCCCTCTAACATTTAGATGGAGAGTGGAATATGTTTCAGACAGCTTTCCTTTTCTGTCTGCACACCTCAGCAATCAGGTGGGAAGTGAAAATGGCCATGGCCACAGCCCTGTAGAGCCTGTGGTTCACAGGGGGTTGACTGGCAGGAAGGAGCATAGAGGTCCTGGCTACTATGTATGAAAAGAAAGTGGAATTGATAGCTGGCTTCTTATATAAGCTTCACTGCTTTTACTATTGAGAAGAGTTTTGTTTTCTTGGGAGATTTTTGCAGTTATTACCTACAGAACTTAGTGACCCTGATTAGAGTTAACAACTCAGAAATGGTAATGTGTGTCCTCAGCAAGTGTTTTCTTGAAAGATGAGTGAGTGTCTTCCAATTGGTAATGGCTGGCATTTTACTTATAATCATTCTTGTTTATTCTGGGTCTCTTTACTTTTGATGGAAATTGATTTATCTTTATTTTAAGCTCCAAACTCTGCTTGTTTATTTACAGTGAATCTAACATTATAAGCATTTGGAATAATGGGAAAGGCATTCCAGTAGTAGAACACAAAGTAGAGAAAGTTTATGTTCCTGCATTAATTTTTGGACAGCTTTTAACCTCCAGTAACTATGACGATGATGAGAAAAAAGTAACAGGTAAAGTCTAAATGGCTGATCAGAATTTTTATTGAGAAATACTGTTCTCTTAACATAGAAGTCTGTTACTATTTCTATATAAGATATTACAGAAAAGGAAGCTTTTCTAGTTTTGTTGTGAGAAAATCCTTTATAGAATTAATGTCTATAAAAACTATCATGTATTACTGTTGTCTTGATTATCGTCTGATAGACACTTAACTCGTAGTGCACTGACTTCTGCCAGAACTCCTGGAACTCTGTCTAACCTGGCTGATGGTTTGGGTTTTGAATTAGAGTACTGATGAAAGTAAGATGCATATGATCCCTGTATCTGTAAATTTGTTTTTACATAAGCACTATGTCTTTTGGTATCAATTAAATTACTTTTAAACCATTTTCTTTGAGTCAGGATTGAAAGTCTAGACTCTATAGAGTTGAAAGTGCTTTGACCATAGCCAGTTGTTCTTCTACTTATTTACACTTCCCAAAAGATGATTTTTTTCCAAAACCAAAGTTCTAGGAAGTTATATAGATTAGAGTTTTGTACTAGAAGTGACTGTGATAGAAAGCTCAGATTCATACTCACATAGACTTACTGGATTGTTTGAAGATACAGTGCTTAATTTTTTTTTTAATTGTTATGAAGTTTATCTACAAAATGTGTATTTTAATTATATTACTGTATGTGCTAAATCTTAATTATATTTCTTTAAATGAAAAATCTAAGTATACTTTGAAATATTCAATCAATGATTAAAATAATAAATGGAAGCTGTTTTGCAATAGACCTGCCCTATGGTAGGTGAGTTAACAAAGTCCCTTTAAAATTGTTTTCATTAAACCTTTCACATTTAATTGTTCTTACAGGTGGTCGCAATGGTTATGGTGCAAAACTTTGTAATATTTTCAGTACAAAGTTTACAGTAGAAACTGCTTGCAAAGAATATAAACATAGTTTTAAGCAGGTATGATAGAAATGTGACTAATTCTTTTTTAAGAATAATCATGTTTGTTGCTTTGCCAAGGTAATACTTATATAATACCTTAGATACCTATATAATGTATTTTTTTAAGCATTAAGCAAGTCATCAGAGTAAAAAGGCTACAGAATGCCTGGGAGATTTTACATAAATCTGTTTCCCTCCCATTCTTTTAAAACAAAATGCTTTATTTGACAGACTTTTCCTTTAACCTCTTTAAGCAATAGGGAAAATGTCTTGAACCTCACAGTCTAATTGAAATGCACCAGCTTAGCATGTTTGAAAATTTCCTTGTTGATTGATCATTTATATTTCAAATTTTTATATTTCACTTCCGTAGACCTTTGAAAATTTTATGTAAGCTAAAATAATTTTGTCAGAAAAGCATTGTACCTTTTTATTTTTGTATAATTCTTTATGGTCAGTTGTAGATTTTGAAAGATTTAACTAACAGTGTATAAAGCTGTTCAGTTGATTTTGCTTATTTTCAGTATGAGGTTGTTATAATAGTTTTATCTAAAATGTCTTCATTTATAGTATAGTTTTAAAGATTGGTTTGTTGTGAAAGTTGGAAAATGGTTCTAGTTGTGGTAAATGAATGTATTTCATTAGCTGAGTCTTTATGTATTATCTAATATAGAAGCACAATAGAAATATTTAAATATTTTTTCTCTTAAAGACATGGATGAATAATATGATGAAGACTTCTGAAGCCAAAATTAAACATTTTGATGGTGAAGATTACACATGTATAACATTCCAACCAGATCTGTCCAAATTTAAGATGGAGAAACTTGACAGGGATATTGTGGCTCTCATGACCAGAAGAGCTTATGATTTGGCTGGTTCCTGCAAGGGAGTCAAGGTCATGTTTAATGGAAAGAAATTGCCCGTAAGTGTCTTCTAAAATAGCTCATGCTTTGTTAATTTGTAGACAGCTTATAGTTAGATCTTGCTTTTTAAATTGTTAATCTCTTTTAACAAGTGTGTTTAGATGATTGACATTTAAAGTAATTATTGAGACATTTGGATTAAAGCTTACCATCTTGTTATATGTTGATTTATTGTGTGTGTTCTTGGTTACTTATTTCCTTGTATCCTGCCTTCTTTGGTTTTAATTCAGCATTTTTAAAAAAAATGATTTCATTTTATCTTCTCTATTTACTTACTATGTGTGTGTGCATGTTCTCAGTTGCTCAGTCATATCTGACTCCTTGAGGCCCCATGGACTGTAGCCTGCCAGGCTCCTCTGTCCGTGGAATTTTTCAGGCAAGAATACTGGAGTGGCTTGCCATTTCCTTCTCCAGGAGATCTTCCCAACCCAGGGATTGAATCCACGTCTCCTGCGTTGATTGGCAGGCAAATTTTTACCACTGTGCCCCCTAAGAATTCTCTTTACTTATTATTCTTATTTTTAAAACTTATTTAGTGATTGCCTTAGGGTTTATAATACTCATTTGTAAGTAACTTGAGTCCACCTTGATTTGTCACTTGGTGTGTAAAAGAGTTGGACCCGACTGAGCGACTGAACTGCACTGTAGAGCAAAAACTTTATAACAGTGTATCCCCAGCTCCTCCTTTCTGTCCCTAAGCCCTTTTCATCATACATTTCGCTTTGGCATATTCTCTAAACAACAGAAGAAGAGAGAGAATGAGGAGGAAGAAATATTTGAAAAAGTTATGGCAGAAATATTTCCACAGTCAAGTTCATTAATTTTTTTTTAACTGTGTCAAGTTTCTGACTTGATGTTGCTACTGCTTTAAGCAGTCAGTTATACTTTAGAGCAATAAAAAATAGAGTTATAGTTTACCTTCATTTATTCCATTTCCAGTGCTCTTAATTTCTTGGTGCAGGTCTAAGTTTCTGACCTATTTTATATTCCTTCTGGCTGGAGATTTTTCTTTAACGTTTATTTCCTGTGGATACCTTTGCTGACAATAGTTTCCCTCAGTTTATGTTTGTCTGAGAGTTTTTTTCCTTCACTTGAAAGGATACAGGGTTTCACTGAGTATAGAATTATAGTCAATAGTTGGTATTTTTTCAGCACTTAAAAATGTTACTTTGTTGTCTTCCTGCTTGCATGGCGTCTGCTGTAACTCATATCCTCCTTCCTCTGTTGGTAAGAGATTTCTTTTTCCTCTGCCTGCCTTGAAGATTTTCTATTTGTCT